AGATATGTTTTACTGCTGACTTCTCCCAACAGTATCTCAGGAACAGGGCTGCAGGAAATCTAAGTGCCTGCCTCAACAATACATGAATTACCTCTGAGGTGTAGCTATTTCCTGAGATACATATGTTTCATGTTCCATTCAAATCTTCACTGAGGGCACCCCTGAAAATGTGTTTGCTGTCAGTGTAATTCCAACTTGAGCAGATCACAAAACTCAGCCACCAGTAGGACTCAGTTCAGTCTCTGATCAGCCAGGTTTGGCAGATTTGGAGTGAAAGGCTTTGGCAGAGCCATGGATATGGACAAAGGACAAGAACAGCATTGGCTACTGCTTGTCAAGCTTGACATAATTGTGTGCAATAGTTTGAGCACTGGCTGCCTGCAATACAGCTGGCTCAAATCCACTGCAAGCTGGTGGCATATGCATTCACAATCCAGATATGTAATGGGATGATTATAGCCAGCATCAGGCAACAGATTGGACTCAAAAGTAGGCAAGCAGAAGCAATGGAAGCAGCCTACCCTTTCACAAGTGCTAAATTTCCCCCTCGCTCCTTCAAACCTCTTGAAAGCCATATAAGCATCATCCCTGGGGAGATGTTTGTTCAATAACTAACCAGTACCATAGAAGCAACAAAGGGAGCACAGAGCACTGGGTTCTACAATAACGAGCAGATTCTCCTCACTAAACACATTTCCAAACCAAGCTAGGACTCTGAGAAGGCACTTGAGGGTAGCTTGTGACAAATGAGACACGCAAAAAGTTCCTTGCAACATAAATGGGGCAAATTTTCATTTAAACAATTTTGTTTCAGTCTGACTGATAATAATGGTAAATGGCCATGTTCAGATTAACAGATTTTGGCTGCACATCTCTGGGGCCAAATCCTGAGCTCTGAGACCTTCTGCTGCTTCTGCCCTCCATGGTTGGCCATTGGACTGAAGAGAGCAGATGGTTTGTTGTAGATTTTCACTAAATGAATTGGTTTTCTTCCTTGCTAACCTGCCTGATGCATGAGTACATGATGGAAACACCTGTTTTCAATATTTCAGCAATCTTTATTTCATCATGTGTGTGTCTCAGTTACATAATTCTATTTCAACATTTTGCATCTCATCAATAGAAGGAGGAATATCTGATTAACAGCAATTCCAGAAAAAAATTAAATCAACCCTGTTAACTTTACAAAGCAAAAAACCAAATATGAACAAGGCATTTATTGCTCCTTTAAAGTCCTTGAAATGATTCTTATTTGGTCATGAAGACAAACCATGACAGCAAAGTGCCAGAATGCTTGTCTAACACCTCTCCCAAAGTTGGCCCAATAAGCTTCTTACCTACTCCCTGGGCCATCATCACTATAACCACCACACTGTAACACAATTGGCAGAGCTAGAAATTTGTATAGATTTATTGGTACATCTCTTGGAGTATCCAGATGGGGACTTTGTGAAAAGAATCCTACCATCCCTCTTACAGGACTTGAGTATCATGCAAGTCTTCTTTATTGGAAAGGCTTTTCTTTAAAACAGGTTTTCTTGGTGAATACATATAATTAAATGCAAGTAATTATGACAATAATTAATTTATTAAATTGTAGATCTTATCTATCTTTGGATGTCTTGTATTTGTCCATTTTTACGTTTCCCACCTCAAAGATTCTCAGAGTGCTTTGAAATGCTAACATATATTGTTTGGACTGGAACTTAATGGCAATTTAACCAAATGCAGCAACTCTGCTGAGATTGGAGGTGAGGAAGAGTACATCCAAATGCACTTGCAGAGAGATCTTAGTTAAGCAGCACAGATTCACCCAAACTGAAATTTTTCCAGGACATGTAATCTAATTTGTGTTAGAGTTCCCAGCTGATCTTTCAATAGTATACACTTCACAACCCCTCTTACATCTCAGCTAAAAGACTACAGTTCCACCAAGTTTCCTTTCCTATTATGATCTCCAACTGACTCACTGTTGAGAGGAGGAAACTCTATATTTCAATCATCAACAGGCTTTTTGGAAACTTCCCATCCAAGCACTGTCCCACCCATAATGTGATTAATGTATGAAATCTGATAAGATCCCAGTTTTAGCTGCTCAAGCTGCATGCTAGCAACAGTTAAGTATACAAGTGACCTCTACTCCCAGGTAGATTTTCTATTTATTACACCATATTTATATCAATAAAGTACTATTTCTGGGACACGGAGGACTGTGTCTCAGAAGTAGTGCTTCTACCCTGTTCAAGGCATCTATTAGAAAGTTGTTCTACTTGGAAAGGTGAGCAAGTAAAAATTGCACCTTCTTTCTCAGCAGCTCTGCTGCTGCTTGATATTCAGTCACATCTGCTGACTTCAGTGTCAAATTATTTTTAACTGCTTTTCACTCCTGCTACCGCTGTGCAGCAACACAGTGATGGGAGAGGGAGGTGGAGTCTGTTTGCCTTTACACATCCACAGCAGGACTCATTACTGACATTCCACCAGTTATGCTCACTGATGAGTGCTTCTGAGGTTGTTTGGATGTCACGGAGGTGGCGACAGCCTGCAGCACATTTATGACTGATAGAATATGAAAGGAAAGAATCCAGCTCTCTCTGATCCTATCACCAACCTCTACAAATCCAGTTTCAAGGAGAACAGCAAGTCAAACAGTGAAGGATTTGTATACCTTTACTTCTGCTGCTGGTGGTAACACCTGCATCACTAGGGTTCTGTAGCAGTGTTTCAAACTAATGACATCCAAACTAGCCATACAGGCCACCTTATCATTTTGTGCCTATGAACCAGTAGGAAGACTATGCTGGCTACATGGCCAAGAAACACTTTTCTTCCAGGAACAAATTTCATGGAAAGCTGTAAAGGAGAGATGGCATTGCTCACTTTAGATCAGGAGGCCTCCAGTTTAGGAGAGCTCTCACAGTTTCAAGTCAGCTGAAGTCCTCCATATAATTCAGAAAGCATTTAGCTATTATGGTATTGCTGAAACCCTACAGATAAATGAATGGAAAAGGTTACCAGATAACCGCAGACACCATCTCACTCTGCTGCATCCAGTGCTCTGCATGGCCTTTCAGGAATAATGAATAATGCTAATTTCTTCATACTTAATCCTGATGAATATTTACCCCACAGTAAAATATCTGTGACATGCCAGTAGAAGGTACTAGGGAATGGAAAAAGGTTCTTTTTTGCGCTTGACTAATCAGTTGAATTCCTTCACAAAATGTGACCAATAAAACAGAAGTATATCCCCCCTTCTTCCTGATGCCATCTCTGTAACTTCACGTTTGACCACCAAAAATATTAACATCCCTGCTGATCTCCTCAGGGGCTGTGATAACATTAAATCTGAGTGCAGCACTGGCATTGGTAATGATCATCTTGCTGTCCCACAGGATACAAAGCTATCACCTGGCTTGGGTACAGCTAGTGCTGTTGCCTAAACCAGATGACCTCTGTTTCACCTACATGTAGAATTAAAGGGCTACTGCAATAATACATAAAGTTGTCAGACTTCATATCCATTCCATGCACACACTCACCTTGGGCATGTCATTTCTCTTATCTGTGCCTCAGCTTCCCCATCCATAATGCGGGGATGACAATGACATAACTTTGTAAACAGAGTCGAGAGTGTAAGGTGAAAGGTGCTACAGATTTCCCAAGTTACTGTAATAAAAGAGGCCCTGAGCCTGATATCTAATCACAAAGAACAAGTCGGGTACAAAAATCAGTTTCCCTTTTGGATTGCTAGCAGGTACAGAGGAAATGCAAGTCTCATTTAAATGCACAAGAAAAAAAACAGGGACCTTCAAAGTTGTTGGAAGGTTAGCTTTAATCTGTGTAATATGCAGTGGTGTTTGTTCCAGATTGATTTAATTTTTAATCTAATCTATTTTTATGTATTTAGGACTTGATCCAAAGCCCACAGGGAGTCTCTCCACTGAGTTCTATAGGCTTTGGATCAACCACTGATAGCGGATCAGTCCCTGCAATATCTGGGACACTAAAATGAATTAACAGCAGTTAGTGAACCCTAAGTCAAGCTTCCATTTCTAATAGTTGGAGCAGTGAAAGCAGAATAGAAAGGGTTAACTATAGAGGATTGCAGAGAGTTGTTGCAAGCATGTACTGTAATGTTTTATTAATGGGGAGGTATGTGTACATAAGTAAGGGACTTTGAATACATCTATCCAAGTTTGCTCAATACAGAGCAGTGTAAACAAGGAGTTAAAACTGATTTTTTTTTTTAAACAGTGGACCTCAGGACACGCATTTGGAATCTGGATCCTGCTGGAGTTTATCTACCCATCTTTCATTTGGTGGGTGTTAGCATGCTCTGTCTGCCTTTCCTGAACAGAGCAGAGTGGTCCTGCTCTTTGAGGAAATGATCCTAATTTCAGAAAAATGTCTGTGCTCCTGCTCAGATGAAGCACAGGTCAAAGACTAAGCGAGCAAGATGGCAGAAGGGGAATCCTGCCAAACCACTGTCCTCCAACACACTCTGATACAAATTAAACTTTGCAGTGAAGGAGGTATGAATTGGTATGTCATATCTAGAGAGTAGTGGTGTCGGTGGCTTTGAGGATGGAAATCATGGAGTAACTGGGTTGTTGCCTATCTTGCCAACAAAACATGTAACCAGTTTCTGCAAGGCCGCAGCACGGATCCTAGAAGTATGCAGCACTTCCTCATGGTTGGCTCTCTCTTGACTGTCATAGTTCATCACTACCTTGTTGGTGATCAGGGAGAACCCAAAGACTCGGAGGCCACAATGCCTGGCTACGATCACCTCTGGAACTGTGCTCATACCTATAGCAGGAGACAGAGGAAGCTCAGCATGCCTTAGGGTCAGACAAATAATTCACATCAAGAATGAAATCCTTGAGACTGAAAAGGCCAAGGGCTCTCAATGTCTTCTATTGTAAGGTGAGTGCTTTTAAACAGTGTGCCCCCTTCTCTTGCTGCTCCTTCTCTTTTTGTGGCATCAAAGACATCTAGGCAGCACTATGGTTACCATTCCTCACTAGCCAATAAGTGGCCTGCATTTGATTCTGGAGCTGCTTCTCTCCCCAAGATAGAGCCACGTCATCTTCTTCATAGCCATCCTAAAAGTATTGAAGTCTTGTATTGCTCAGCCCCCATCTTTCTGGGTTAAAGAATATTACCATGGCTTTATTACACATGGCTTTAGGAGAAAAGTGTGCGGGGACATCTTAATTTCTTTCAGTACATCACAGAAATACTTCTTAGACAATGACACAAAGCATCCTGAGCTGGTTAAAAGCTTCACTGTAACCAAATGCTCAGCTGTAAGGATCTGTATGAATCATAACAATGATCTTCCTTGCAAAAGGCTAGTGAAGGCTCATCAATTGCTACCTGTAACAATTTGTCATGTTATGGGCATCATGAAAGTGATCTACAGCTGTGCCCTACAGATTTCATAGACATTAGACATTAGGGCTGGAAGGGACCTCGGAAGATCATCGAGTCCAGCCCCAATTCCAGATGCAGAATACTTTAAAAGTGCTCAACTGCAAGACAAATTAACCCTCATTTAAAGAGGGTTTATATGAAGGTGCTCCAAAGTGGAACACCTTCATTAACTTCTGTTTGTCCCTGCACATGAGTAGGGCTGGGCTGATGCAGCCCAACCCCACCTCCAAAGCCGTCTATATGGTTGGGAGGGGGAGAAGGCAGAGGAGTGACATCTGGTCTGGGGTTTGCCCAGCCTGTGCTGGAAGGAAGAGGGGTGGGGCGGGTGGATTGTAGGCCCCCTCAAGGTGGGCGCCTCCAATCTTCCCACTTGCAGTGAAGGCTGGGCAAATCCCAGACAGGAGCTCCCTCCCCTGCCTTTTCTCCCTCCCATCCTACAGACAGCACTGGAGCTGGTGGGGTGGGGGGAGGGGAGGGGGGAAAGAGGCAGGGCTAGGGGAGGGAGGCTGCAGACAGGTAGCCTGTCTGCTGGATCAGCTCCAAAATGGAGCTTGATCCCCTCCTCCCTGACCTAACAGTGAATGTCTATTGGGTCGGGGGGGAACAGGGTGCTGTAACTCATAGTGCTTTCTTTGAAGCACCATGAGTTATGGCAAGCAGCTGCACATCTGTCAATGCCCTCAGATGAAAAGCTCTATAAAAAGGGAAAGAAAAACGTTTGACCTCAAGCATTTTAAGAAATGAGGTAACACACTTCATCGCTTTTTGCACATAACCCATTTCTCTCACAGTTTACTGGGGTGAGTCCAGGGATGAATCTGGCCCATTCAATTTTGTAATACACTTTATGTTTAGGAAAGGAAGCATTTTGGAGATAGGCTGCTGAATGGATGCTGGTTGTCTAAAGATACAGAACTGTTCTGCTGAGTCACCCTAGCAGCTGGACTTAGTGGGTCCTGTTGTCACCAAATCAGGAATATATAGAGCTGCAAGTTTCTGTAAGTCAGAGGGACCTAGGGACTCGAACAGACACTGGGACAATGCAGGAGAAATCCTAGGAACAGTCAAACTAGAACTGAGTTTAATTTTTAATTTAACAGTAAAGGCAGAGCCCACAGTTCGGATAAGTGTGGAAATATCCCGTGTTAGGAGCAGAATGAGGACACTGTCTATTTATAGCTCCTCTGCATGTCCAACGTTTTCTGAATTACCCCACAAACCCAGCCCACACATCTCACCTACTGCATCTGCTCCCAGGACCTGGAGCATGCGACTTTCAGCAATGGTTTCATAGGAGGGACCTGCCAACATGCAGTATACACCCTCCTGGATGAATTCCAGGTAACCCAACTCCTGTGCACTCTCCTTAGCTAGGCCAAACAGGTCTATGTCATAGGCATCTGACATACAGGGAAACCTCACCCCAAACCTGCAAGGAAAAGAAGAGCTCTACGAACTGACATTGGACATCAACCTTGCTGCTGCTACCTCCATAACTCAGGAGTTCAGCAGCGCTCACATTCCAAAACAAAAAGCAAACGTCAAGGATGGACTATCATTAGGGCAGTCTCCTTTATAACTGTCAGCATGACTGGGTGACTCAGCCATCACTGCATTCAGTCCTGCCCTCTTGAACCCCCAGCCCTCCCTACTAGCCAAAAGGGTTACTGTTACAGTAACGACAGACATGTTATTCCTACAACACAAATGCCTTAATATTCCTCCACCCTTGAGGAAGTACTGACATCTTATCCTCATTTCCCCAATAACATGCTGGATGCCACTCTTTTTTGAAGGTATACCTCATTACCTAATTGTTGTTCCTTTTTTTTCTAGTGCATGTGGGTTATGGATAGGGATTCCTGTGAGATTTGCGGCTCCCTAAGGCTATTCCAAGGAACAGTGTTGGGTAGCATCCAGCAGAGTTCTGTATAACCATACCTTTCTGACTCTGGATCATGCAAGTATTAGGACAGGCTTTGTTCCAAGGCTACTCATATTTTGCAGACCTGAGGGCTGAAATGGCAATTGGCCAGAAACCCCAGAGTGGAAAGTAACTTGCACCCACATGCTTTAAACAGCAGTAAAGAATTGAAGTAACTCGACTAAAACTGATTGATATTTGGGTCCACTCCTGCAATGCATACTTCAATCTAGTTTTAGATATCTTCAGTAATCATTTCTTTGTGAGGCATGTTCTGCATGCTGACGGATCTCACTAGTGGGGACATGTTTCCAGCTCTGGAGCAGCTGTTTATAGTTTGGAGTTCTGGCACCACATGGTACTGTAATAATAAGAGAACTCACTCTTGTATTTAAGTTGTGTTCTCACCTCCTAGTCACAGCAGAGGGTAACACTTGGAGCACATATTAGGATTCCCATGTCCACATTTCAGGTAATCTAACTTCAGGGTGGAGGAGTTGACTCCTCCCTTTCTCTCCTACAAAGAGGCTCCACCCTGCTCTTTTTCTCTTCTACAAAAAAGCCTGCTCCTGCTCAGGTTAACAAAAGCTTTGCCAGTGACTCAAAGAGAACCGAAGGGGTAAAAGGACCTAATTTAGAGACAATGGAAAACCAGCAATACAAATTTCAAGCCATCCTTAATGTGGTTTAATGGAAACTGTTCAAGGCCTCAGTTCACCTGGACTGTGGCTTCCAATTGCCTTCAAAGTTTAGTTAGCTGTTCAATTTTATATTTGTACTGCCCCAGCATAATAAGGCCCTGAGCCTTAATAGGGTTTTTAAATGTTAAAGTAAAATGAATGTAAAAAAACCCCAGTCCTTCACACATGCAATCAGAGAGAATAAGCATGATCAAAAAAAGAAAACTGTTTCCTTAAGTTCATGGAATATGGCCAGCTGTCCATATCCTAATGTGTTAAATTCAATCCTCAGATCCTTGCCCATATACCCTTTTAACATCACTCTCTCTTCCTTAATTCTTGTGTGCTCTGTTTGGATAAATTCACTCTGTAGGCTGAGATGCACTGGCTTTTAGTTCAGCTAAGGCACTGCAACACCTTGAACATGGATTGATAAAAACCTTTCACTCGTTTTGCTTGTCCTGAATTACCTCTGGGTCAGTGATACAAGAGTCTGATCTCCCAGGATGCTGCACACTTCGCAAGACAACTTCTCTTGAGAAGCAATGAGACAACTAGTCTACCTTTGAATTTTGTCCAAACAAAGTTATTGTTCAGCTGGCTTTTTATCTCCCTTTCCTCCAGGATTATCTGAAGCCAGAGAACTGTCAACACTTTCTCCACATGGCTTCCTTGCATTTGATTGTTCTTTCTTTTAATTATTACCAATAGCTATAAAGATGTTCAGTTTTAGATGGGCATTGTCCTTCTCTCGCCATTTGGACTACAGAAAAGATTAAGTCCTTTTTTCTGGGAGCAATATTAAAACCTTTCAGGTTTCTTCTAAAGTCGGTGTCAGGCCTGGCATGAGATCAGCAGGGATCTGACTTCAATCAACAGGCATGCGGGACACAGTGACACAGTGATACTAATGAAGCTTTGCTTTTTTAGAAAGAGGCTTGCAAAATCCAGCTGCCATTCCTGCAAAGACTGCCCTCTAGCAAGATTTGGGTATTAAGCCAACAGTGACTCTAGAACAGTGCTTCCCAACCTCTTCCTCAGCATGACCCCATTTATGGCCCCATTTCCTCAGCATGGCCCCTCACTTCCAACCCACAGCCCCCTATTCCTGCAACCCCATCCGCTGATGTTGCGACTCCATTTAGGGTTGCAACTCACTGTGCTAGAACATTTGTCAAAATGCAACAAATTTGTTTCAATGCAACAAATGAATTACCCTTGGCATTGCTCTTTCCCTGTCCCACAGTCCCATGTTGTTGGACTAATTTTCTTCTTTGCCACTACAGCATACTATCGACAGTCAATAAATCCTGCTAATTTTAATTCTTCACCATCAAAATCTGGTGCATTTGTCTATTTGCACTATGAAAAGCCTCAGACAAAAAGTCCAAATCATATTTCTGTTTAACAACTTCAGCCTTCTCCTCTGACTTCCTTGATGTTAGCTACTTACTCCTCCAGTATGTCTAAGACTACTGTGGATTTTCAATGAAAATTCAAGATCTGTGATGGAGTATTGCTGACGGTCTGCTGTACCACAAAGAACTAAGTGTTCTTTAGGGAGCTGTCTGTAAGTTAGCTGGGCTCCTTCTTTTAACAAAGTTCTAGCCCCTTCTCTCCTCTCTCTGACCCTGTCAGATGAAACAATGGCATCCTCACCTCAGCTGTGCTACAAGATAAGCCTCCAAAAATGTTTTGAGACAGCTGCGGATATTTCCTCCCAAGTTTCTTGCGCTGAGCAGTGATATTGGAATTTGTTAGCTATCTTGTTTGTAATTGCATTCCACTGATGGGTATGTTTTACAGGTTCCTCTCTGTACAACATCCACAAGGGCGTAAGTCAGCTACAACCCAACTAAGGAGCTTAGATTCTTCAGATCAATCTATAGCACTTCTTGCTAAATCTCCGAAGGCCACCATTCAATTCCTGCTACATCAACCAAGATCACCATCATCATAAAATTTTCTGAGTGGATATATTTCCTATAGTTAGGAGGATAATAGTAGGAGAGAAAATGATATAATAGTCTGGATACAAGGCTGGGCATCAAGGAACTTCTGAGCTGAGACCCTAGTTTGGCTGCTGAATTATTGCATGGCCTCTGTCACACACTTCTCTCCCTCTTTTCTCCATTTGTAACATAGTGTGAGAGAGAGCAATAATCCACCTATTGCAGGGTTTCCCCTATCGTTCATATTTGCACAGAGCTTGGCAGGTGTAAGATGTTAAGTACTATTAATGAATAACAAACAACTGTTTTCATGGATCACCCCCATCATGCAGAATGATGGAAAGGATAAAAGGGCTGGTATGAAGCTCACTGAAGAGCCCCACTTCCCCAGTGATGCCAACTGTCACACAAGCTGCAGCTTGCATCAAATCAGAAATAATTGTGAATAATGCAGGCAGCAGCATGGAAAACATTGCAATTAATTATATCTGTTAATTGAAGGCACCTGGCAGAGATGGCACAGACAATCACAGAGTGCAGCAGCTTTAGTATCACTATTAGTGGAACAAGCCCGGTCACACTTCCTGTGTGGCTGGTCCCACCCCTATGGGGACTAGTGTCTGTTTTTTAACAGTAAAACCATCTCAATGTGTGTGTGGAAATTCCCCAAAGGCTTGCAGCAAGTAAACAACAATAAGGGAAGGTGTCCAGGGAGGAAAGGTAGATGGCACAGCAAGTGAAGTTGCTGCTCTAGCTTTTCTCTTGTGGGCATATATTTGGTAAATATTTTGTCAAACACAATTAGCAGTTTCTCTCTATTTGGCTGGAGTGGGAAAGGATCCTATATGCATGGACTGAAGTGTATTAGGCGAGGAAGGGGGCTACTGAAGGTTAGAACTGAAATCCATTGACTGAACCCAAATATGAACTAAAAGACTGGAACAGCAGGAAGCATGGGTGGATCTAAGATTTTGAAAAGGGGTGCAGATGGTGCAGTTCATCATCACTTATTTTTCTCCAGTTAAAAAGAAAATAGAAGTTTTACTGCTATGCTAGGGGCCTTGCAGTATATATTTAATTTAAAATCAAAGCAAAACCAAATATAACTATTGGAATGTGCACTAATTTGCTAGATTATATATTTATATATGATGTTTGAGAGCAGGCCCAAAAGCCCACAAAGAAAAATACTGCTAAGAGGCCACAAACAGGATAATCATGAGCTCTCTCTATGCAGTATGACATTGGAATGTGAGCTGATAACCAGGGATGGTACAAACTGAACCTACCTTGAACCCACTAGCATAAGTAACAGTGCTTCAAAAACACAGCTAAAACAATTAAGGATGCAGTCCTGCTTAGCATTTCAAAACAAACATGTAGCCAAAAGCCAGTTTGAACTAATTAGGAGTTTTCTCACACTGACCTGATATCTTGTTTTCCTTTACAGTGGAAAATTCCCACCTGCGTGTGTATCTTGTCATGCGCACTAAAAGTTTCTAACTAACCATAGAGGTTGAGTCAATTAAGTGTAAAATCTGTGATGCAAAACTGTCTATATAAACTTGCTTACTTGTTATCAAGGGGGGCTGGTTCTTGGAGGAGACAGGCTACTCTTTGTTGTTGTATGCATGCTTCAATAAAGAGCTTTAAGATAAGACCTTGCTGGTGTTGCCTGTCTCTTGCAGTCAGACAACAAACCTGGGAAGTTGGGGTTTGAGTCCCTGACAATGTTCAATTAAAATAGAACAAGCTAGGCAAAAATAGTCAAAAGACTCAAAAGATACTGTGCCATCAGTCCTCTAGTCATTATAGTTAAATGTACATCTCTTATTCAGATTCATAGAAAAAAATCTAGTTGTCTTGAACATTTTGACAGTGCCTCCAATACTTCATTGGCAGGCATGTCTGCACCTGAATTAGTATTACCATACTCGAGTTAAAGTTTTCAGCTTAAGCTAAAAAACAGACTGTAGGGCTGTGAAGTAGAACAGAGACACTACCAGGAATGGTTAACAGACAGTAAAATGGCACAAGAAAGGCTAGTTTGAATAGTGGAACAACAAGACCATTAAAAAGGAGAGATGGCTGTTGGTATCTGTGGAGTGAAGTTAGCAGGAATAAGGTAGATTTTAATAAACCATGAAGTCAATTGACTCACTCAGTGCTGCCTGAACAGAAATACCACCTGCCTTCCCAGGCAGCTGGCTTTAAAGTTTGGGAGCAGAAGAAAGCAAAGGGGGTGTCACTATACAGCCACCCCTGGGATGTCCCTAGGGCACTGTGACTGTGCCGACTCTGCCCTATGGGTGCCTACTAATATCATCTGCCACATCTTGCTGATATAAACAATGAATTAAGAGGCTGCCCTTGAGCTTTGTCTCTGTCACAGTCCTGACAGACTCCTCTAAACCCTGTGGGTTGCTAGACCCCTTTATTGGATCCCACACTCAGGAGGTGCCTTATGATACCCCCAAGCTTTATGGGCTAGATGTGTGACTCCAAAACCACCCTTTTATCACACCCCATGCCTCACAGATTTTATGTAGACTTTGTCTTCTTGTGTTGAGGCCTCAGCTTAGTCTGGCTTCAGTAACTACACCCTCTGGCACTGGGGTCTGCTCACCCCCTGCCACTGCACCCTCTCTGGTGCTGGGGTCTCCACATTGTAGTGTGCCCCAATGAAGCCTCCTCTTCCCCAGTAGCCTCATCCTGGTCCACCAGTTTAAATAACAGAAAGTACAACACAGCCATAACATAGGATCCACACTCTACCCCCTTTTAGAAGACAAGCTTCTCTACTGGGCCTCCCCCCCACCACCAATACCTACAAGCTCCTATAGCCCCTTAATTCTACCAAAAGCAGAACAGGCAGTCAAGCATCTCTAGTTATCATCCTCTATAAGAGCTCCTTCCCTCTGGGCTGCTGCCAGAAAACCAACTGTCTAGTCCCAGCCCTGCGTTTTATATGTGCCCAGGGCCCTACCTTCTTCCGGACAGCTGACCTCATTTCCTCATTAGCCTGCTGCCACAGTAACCTGCACCTGTGGGGTTTCTGCCTGACTGCTAGGGTCCTCTCTCTAGGCAGGAGCAGGCATCTTAGTGCCCTGTGACAAGGGGATGCAACTGCACCATGGTACTCTTCATGGATCTGTCCCTGGAAGGAAGTACAACAGGCCAAGAGTGGAGTGATGGGCGTTGGTAAAATTGTGTGGGAAAGTTGCAAAGAACCTGTCTGCACTGCTAACTTGTATCCAATGTTATTAATCTTTCAGTAAATGTAGTAATGTTGTTTCTCTTGTTTGTTTCTCTGTTGATGCATCTGTACACGAGCCTCAGTTCTCAAATTTTGCTTGCTTACCTTTCGTCATTTGGCCCACGCAGTGGGTTCTGTCCTGCAAAGCCCAGCATGTTGATATGATCTCTAATGAACATGATGTCCCCAACTTGGAAACGTTGGTTAAGTCCCCCAGCTGCATTTGTGACGATTAAGATCTCTACCCCAAGGAGGAAAAACACCCGGATGGGAAAGGTTACCTACAAAATCACCAAATAACAAGATACCTGCATGATAAGTTTCAGGCTTCTTAGCTTGGAGACCTGCCCAATGGTTCCAGGCACACTATACACATTTAGGCACATAATATACTGTTTTCTGCTCAGAAGTTCTGGTTTGGATTAATAGGTAAACTGATTTACAGTTTCTTTCTGTGCCTGCCTCTTTCTGTTTCCTTCACAGAGAGGTATTGAGCAGTGATGAAAACAGAAAAAGGAGGTGAGGCTACTACTGATTAGCTGGTCAATTGAAAATTAAATTTGCTAGCAGTTCACAAAGTAACAGTCACTAATCACCAACATTAGCAGGATAAAAATTACGTGCCAGAATAGCATTGGGAATGGAAAAAGACAGAGAGACAAAGGAATCTGCAGATTATGGGCTGGGCTGGGGAGACAGTGGTATGGGCTTTCAGGAAAATGCTTCATTACCTCCCTCTGATTTAAGAAAGCAAATTATCTTTGCCATGGTGGTCCACTTCATTTAGTCTATGCTGCTTAAAACCTTTATGTCATCTTCCCTGATTCAGCTCTCTGGTTTCCCACATGTATCTTTAAGCTGACCATATAAAAAGTCCCCTTAATCAAAAGGTCTGAGTCTCTGAGTTATAGCTGCTTGGTCTGTGACCAGCTCTTCATCCTATTTGCACTTCAAAGGCAGCCCTACAATGAGAATCTCAAAAGGCAGCCCTACAATGAGAAAAGTGAACTGGATTCTGTTTGGCTTAGCATGTTATAAGTGTCAGCTAAATTCTCTCTGCAAAATCATTGTTATAGGTGAAGATGTAGGAGACAGAGAAAACCCAGCTGAAGTTTCAGCTCATGGATGGCATTTGCAGGCAAATAACCATTTGTCTTGTAAACTGGGTTTATTGGGTATGAGAACACTGAACAAGAATAACTCTAGAACTGATAATGTTCTTTGCCTAATCACTGTTCTGCAAGTAACTGCCCTCTTGCTAGTACATGTCCATATCAATGTACTTTTATCACTTTTCTGATACAGGGCCCAATTTTCACACCTAGCTATTTTAATATGATATCACGTTCCATATTGGATATGTAGATAGGTACCAGATAGCTCATGAGGTTAACCATTGTAACAAATCCACGAACACATAAAACTAGGCCTGTGCAAATAGGGAAGTATTTAATTTGGATTTGGATTCGGCCAATCTGGAGGGCAGTGATTTGAATTGGAGATTCAGATCACTGTCCCGAATTGGCACCTATTTGGAGAGATTTGGAGATTCGGCTATAGACTATAATGGGGAATCACTGAAATACCTATAACTTTGTCATTTTTTGGCTGACTTGGATAAAAATTGCCAGACTGGTAGCCCATTCTGGGGGGCATGAATCCTGCCAAGTTTCAAGGAGATAGGTGCAGGGGTTTCTGGGAAACTGCACCTCAGGCTGCTGACAAGCAAAACTTGTGACATGGATAACACTGTCTGTGTGTTAAGGCATGCACTCACTGGCACTGGGGCCTCTACACAACATGGTAGTGTGCCCCCAATGTGGCCTCCTCCTCCCCTACAGCCTTAGCTTAGCCCACCACTTTAAATGACAACAGGTAATAATAACTTAGTGAGCACTAGCACAGTAGCACCAACAGCATCTCAGGCAGCCAAACTGTCACTGACTAGAGCCTTTCTTTTCTTTCCTGAAGAAGCTTCTTCTCCAGCAGCTGCCAGACAATGTTCCCTGCCAGCCCCAGCTCTGGGGGTTAGATGTGCCCAGGGACCTGCATCCTTCCGGTCAGGTACTAGGAATGTTGGTCTAAGGACATGGCACTAGCAGACAAGCTCCTTTGAGTCAATCTAACCTGGTATCTTTTAGAAGACCAACTGAATAGTTAGAGAAATATATCTTAGCAAGCTTTCAGGTTGAAAAACCCTTTGTCAGGCTCAGGAAGTACCTGCCGTTGGTGTGTATGTTCTCTTCCTGGATGGAAGGAATAAATAAAGAAGCCAGAGGCTGGCGTGAAATGCAGGCAAGAAAGCCAGTCAGCGAAAATAGAAATGGACATGCCAGGGGGTGAAGAACTGGCTGGCTGGGGCGGGGAGGGGGGAATGTAGCAGCGCAGGTAAAAGTGTAGAGGTACTTGGGGAGTCAGATGTCTGGCAGGTTGTAGTGTGTTATAAATCCAATGTCTATATTGAGTCCATGAATTTCATAGTCCATAACAAATCTGATTGCCTTTTATGATCAAGTAACTAAATCCTTGGATGATGGTGTCGCCATGGACAAAGTCTTTCTAGACTTTAAGAAGGCCTTTGACACTCTCTCTCACTCCATCCTCATCAATAAATTAAGCGACTGTGGCACTGATGCCTACAAAGTTGGATGGGTAAAAAACTGGCTGATGGGGTGCACCCAGAGAGTAGTGGTGGATGGGATGTACTCAACCTGGCGAGATGTGAGTAGTGGGGTACCCCAGGGCTTGGTCCTTGGGCCTCAACTATTTAACATCTTCATCAGCGACTTGGACAAGGGGGTGGAAAGCATGCTGTCCAAGTTTGCTGATGACACTAAGATGTGGGGTGAGGGGGCACACTTGAAGGGAGAGAGGCTGCAACTAGATTAAACAGACCACATAAGAAGGCAGATGAGAATAGGATGGGGTTCACTGTAGATAAATGCAGGGTGCTGCACCTTGGGAGAAGGAATCCACAGCATACATACAGGCTGGGGAGTTCCCCTCTTGAAAGCACAGAGGCAGAACGGGATCTTGGAGTCATTATTGACTCCAACATGAACATGAGCTGCCAATGCCAGACTGCAGCCAGCAAGGCCAGCCATACCTTGTCATGCATCCAAAGATGCATCTCAAGCTGGTGCAGAGAGGTGATACTCCCC